TGCCCTACTGGCTTACATCTTTCCAAGCCAACACTTGGACACCAAAAGTTTGAGTTCTAACTCAAATATAAATAAAGCCCTAGGCTTGAGTGTTTACATGTCCTAACAATGAAAAACAAATAACTAGAAATAGTCTTCAAAGTCCAAGTCCTTCCAAGCTAAGTCCTTGGAGGTAGCTTATCACCTGAACCTGAAAATGATGTTCCCATAAAGGGTGAGCCACAGCCCAGTAGAAACATACTAAACCACATATAAGCAATGAATAAAGCAATAGCATTCATCAAATGGTTAACCAATATAATCAATTACTTCATTTTACAGTCTCATAACACGTTTTACTTTCCAACTTTATCAACATGGCTCAGAACCTAGCCAAACTTACAATAGTGAATTATATATGTCATAATCATATCCTTCCAATATCAACAAACAAATGAGACACAAGCTCAAATCAAAACACTTCATACTTCCAGATTGATACACATTTTAGTGCTGTATCAATAAAAACACTTCTATATAAATAAGCACACATAAAAGTGATGCTAATGGAGTCCATCCCCTATCTCCTCCCAAACAAAATCCGGTTTAGAGGTCCATCCCCTATCTTCCCCTAAATCGTGGAGTACATCTCCTATCTCCTCCCACACAAAACAATGTATGCAAATGCAATGCTCAATCAATACACGTATTTTCTGTATCAATGCAATAGTCAACATTAATGACTTAACCAATGTGATTAGTTTCAATTATTCCTAAATCCACATGCAATGTCTACAACAATCACGACTATCCTCCACCGATAGCCCAAAACAGTTATTTCTAGACTGGAAATAAATATATCAACAATTCAATGGGCGAGTGATTTACATTATCCAACTACACCATTTAAGCAATAAATTTCCCAACTTTCATGAATTTAACCAACTTTCCCAATTCCCTTAAATTAATTATTCAAATTAATTAATTTAAACAACTAGGGTTTTCCCAAAATTATCAAAGTAACCCCAACTTATCAAAATACCAAAACTTAGAACAAAACCTATAAAAATGGAGTAGGAAATCCCTACCTCGAAGAAAACAACCCAAATGGAGAAGACAGAGATGAAGACCCAAATTCCAATGTGCTCCAAATCACCAAATGTTCAGATTAAATGGAAGCCTTCGACTCACTCTATCTTTTTAATAAAGGATCTAAGGTAGAAACTCACTCTAAGTAGATCAATCCTAAGAGAGAAGGTGTGTAGAGGGAGAGAGAACTCGTAACTTGGGTTTTGGAATCTGAAAGTGTATGAAAAACTGATCAGAAACACGCTGCTGCCTATTTAAACCTGACAGGCTCGCTCTAGCGAAGACTTGGTCGCTCGAGCGACCAGACACAGAGAAGCTACGCTCGAGCCAAGGAAGCCTTGCTCGAGCCAACAACCCAAAAGCTCGCTCGAGCGAAAGAAAACTCGATCGAGCGAAGAACTCAAACCCCCAGGTCTGAAACCAGACACACGCTCGAGCGAAGAAACCATTGCTCGAGCGAAAAACAAACTAACTCGCTCGAGCGAAGAAAAGCTCGCTCGAGCCAAGAATGCAAAGCTACAGGTCCAAACCAGACGCAAACTCTCGCTCGAGCTACCAAACCCCGGCTCGAGCGAATAACCAATACAACATCTCGCTCGAGCGACAAACTCCTCGCTCGAGCGAAGATCCAAAATTCTGGACAGCAACACTTGGTTTCTAAACCCAACCAACCTGAAACAAACCTGCCCAACACACCCTATAATTCCAAATGAGAAAATAAGGGACAACAACAACAACAACAATTATAAAATGACAGAATCTACGGAACCTAAGTCCGGATACAATAATCAAAGGGGAAAAGACCGGGGTCGCTATAGTTTGGAAATTAAATAAAAAAGGAAATTCAATAGAAAAGGAAATTGAATAAAAATGGAAGGTGAATAAAAAGAAAAATGGAAGTTCATTCAAGAAACGACTATACATTAACGACCTATTTGGAAATTAAATAAAAAATGAAAATTGAATAGAAAAGGAAATTGATTAAAAATGGAAGTGGAATAAAAATAAAAATGAAAGTTGCATAAAATTAAAAATGGAAGTTCATTCAAGAAACCACTATACCTTAACGATCTATTTGGAGTGAAGAATATAACAACTTGTTTGAAGGCTACGGTTCAACATAAGAAATTGAGGAAGGAAAAACAAATACCAATTGAGGAAAATGATGATGATTATCGACCGTCGGAGGCTGAAGATGGCAGTGACACTGAAACCTATGATTCGTTTGAGCATGAGGTACTATACATTTATGCATTGTGAAATATATTCTTTCTTGTTACTTTCAATTCATACACACATAGACATGTATATCTTTGTACATATATTCATATTTTATTATGTTATTCAGCTTGGAAATGGTTCATGTTTGTGTTTCTTGTCCCACATAGGAAAGAAGTGAAGTGGCACCAAAGTTTTCTGTAAAAAATAATGTCATATATGTATTTTTATAGAAAACTTATTTAATTAATTTTTTTTTTTTTGGAAAATTTTTCCTTCAAATTTTCTTTTTTCTTTCCAAACAGAGGTGATTGTTATGTTCAAACAGAGCCACTATTTGCGAAACTTTCACCATCCTCAAAGAGTTTCAACCTCTTCCTAATAGATTTTTCATTGCCTATAAAAATGCAGCCCTCCTTCAATCCAATTCATTCCAATTTTCGTTACCTTCTCTGCATATATTTTGCATACTTGGTGTTTGATTGAGAGTGCGAAGCATAGGTTTTGGTTCGTTAGGCAAGTTTATTGTAGTGCTTCTTCAACTTGCGAATGTCATTTTATTTTGAGAAATAGACGTTAGCCAAAGAAAAATATTTTACTCATTTTTATAATAGGTTAGAAATCTTAATTATTTATTGTAATTATTTTATTTTTTATAAGAATTATCTATGACTTATCTATTTTTTGCAGGATCAATTTGATTTACAAGGAGACCCTGTTGATATAGAGAAGGCAATGAACACAAAATTTGGTCGGAGATTGAGTAACCATACCTATAGGCTGCACAAACAATTCATGGAGCTGAAGGAGGCTAAAGGGGAGGAGTATGCAAGAAACCACCCACCAAAGAATGTCGATCCTACCAAGTGGATAGATCTTATTGATAAAAAGTGGAACACTAAAGAATTTCTGGTAACATTTTCATCTTTTTTATTATATTAGCGAAGAAAGAATTTGATTAGAATAGGGAGAGATTCTAAAA